TTATTCGGGTCAACTAACCTAGATTTTGCTAGGTTTTGATATAAGAATAGAACTTCTGCACTGTGGTAGAGTATAATTCCATTGTGGGTAAAATTTTAATTTTGATAAAGTCTCACAGTGTTATACAGTAATGTTTACTGATGACCACGTTTCAAGCACAATTTATTACTCCTCATAATCAACTCACATCAAGGCACTACTCACACAACCTTCTAACTTCCCTTATGTACTTCTATTATTTTCCATCACTTGACCTGACTGGTAGTAGTATTTTCCATATTTCCGCTATGAGTGATGAGTCATTCCTATCGCATTTGTTGGGTGTAGATTTGATGAACCAGGAAGGATTCAGTAGTCAACGTCTCTCTATCTCCACCTACCTATATTACTTGTTAGAATTTTAACCCTCTCTCATCCTATTGTGTGGTTTTGTGTTAGTGCATGCAGTGCAATGTAGTGCTGAGCTGTTTTCTAAATTACTTATCTTCTCGGGGTCAACTACTTTTGCCTTAGCTAAATTCTTATGTCCCGACAATCTGACTACCTCCGACCTACCAGTTTGACTGATCTGTGCAGTTGACCTTACTCACAGTCATTGCAAGGTATTTTGTAAATTATATTCTTTTGTCTAATTGGATCAACCGACAGGGTCCTTTAACCTACAGAGCTTTTCCCTGGGTGAGTTTGTAGGTTTCAATGCCACCCTAATTTCTGCTTTATTAAGAATCCTACGTACGGAGGGTCTTACATGTCCCCTCTCTCCTTATAAGGTGAAACCACTGTAGATGCCTTATATTCTTTCTTATTTATGTTATCACTACTAGTTTCACAACAATCAAACAAAATCCCTACAAAACCAATACTTGAAAATTAATCTAATGCTCACTAGTGACTGGCCCTATTCAGGCAGTTAACCTGGGGTTCTAGTGGGAAGCCGTGACCAGTAGGGTACAGCAGGTTGGAGATGAGGCAGTAACTCATCTAAGAAGACATTGCGAAATGGTCGCGCTATGTCGTGAATTGGCAGAAGTTAGAATTCAAGGACCATTGGATCGGGTCCCAGTGGCTCAATGGTCTACGAGCTCGCCTTGTAACCAGAAGGTCCTGGGTTCGAATCCCGGTGGGTGCGTACTGCTGATGAGTCCCAAACTAGGACGAAACAGCTGTCCAGTACTCCCAGGTTTTCCAGTGGTTCTCTAACTGATGTCAGCTCATGATGAAATCCTCCACGCAATCAAACAAAATCCCTACAAAACCAATACTTGAAAATTTTTATTCTGCTTTTGACCGTTTTTCATATTTCTAATAAATTTTATGGGATAGCTATTTGATAACAAAGCTTCTTCTATCTGTTTTATTTCATCATTTAGGTCTTTTCTTGTGCTACTTAGTGCTACTGTTCGTTTTGTTAGCCACTTATCTAAGCCTGCCTTAACAGTTAACGGATGAGATGAATTAAAGTCTAAATGTCTATTAGCGTAATACGTTGGTTTTTTATAAACGCTAGTGTACAGTCTAACTTCTTCTATTCGTTTCATTTTACAATCTAACATAGCTAATTCTGCTTGTTCATTTTCCGATTCAAATGTGAATTTTATTCCCTCCACTAATGAGTTTGTATGTGTCCAGAAGCTAGAGATATGTTCTCTTTGTAGCACTGTGGAGATGTCATCCACATATCTCCACCATATTTTTGGAGTACGATCAAATGTATTGAGAGTAATATTTTCCCAGCTGTCCATAAATATATCTGCTACATTAGGGGATATTGGTGATCCCATTGCTACACCTTCTGCTTGTCTATATATTTTGTCCTGGGATTTAAAGATAGTAGTTGTGAGACATAACTGAATTCCTAAAATAATTTCCTCAATGGGCAGCTTCGTCCTATGAGTGAGTTCAGGATCTGCAGTTAGTTATCTCTTAACCGCTTCTAAGGCCATATTGATTGGTATATTCCTGTAAAGACTAGTTATATCAAAACTAACCATTGTTTCATCATTCTCTAGTTGAATGTCATTTAGTTTATTTTTCATCTCATATGAATTAGTTAGTTAGTCTAGAGTTTGAACGATTTCTAATGGGGCATAATATTAGAGCTAAGTGTTTTGATAATTCATAAGTAGGAGTATTCCTGAAATCTACTATTGGTCGTATGGGGTAACCTGGCTTGTGTATTTTAATAGTACCATATATTCTACTAGCGTTATTAGTCTTAGGCATTAAATTAAACCATTCAGACTGACCCAGTGATGGCTTCATTCTGCGTATTAATTCCGCTGTAGATTTCTTAACCTTATTCATTATTGTATCTACAGGCTTCTTAATTTCCTCATATGGACTCGTCTCAATATGTTCAGTGACTGACTTTCTTGATATAGTCAGATTTATCCAAAACTACTGTAGAGTTTCCTTTATCAGCTTTTGTGATGACGATGTTTTTATCCTGTTTTAGACTAATTAGAGCTAGTCTTTACGATGTTGTTAAGTTTGACTATGCCTTCTTTTGTTTCTTAAGAGTTAATGCACATTGTGTTCGAACCTCTTCTGCTGTCGTCTTATCTATTGAACCTAGTGCTACTTCTATGTTAGGAATGACATCTTCTGGTTTTAATTTACTAAGTGTTTCATTGAAATTTAGCCCTTTCTCAAGTACTTTTATCTCACTAGAGCTTAGTTCCCTTGATGAGAGGTTGATCACCCATTTTGTTCTGTTAATAGAGAATGAAGCGTTGATGTCAGTTTCATTTACTGTGTCCTTTTCTTCCATTAGTTTGTTGAAGTTTTTATTCGTGCGGATTTTGATTTTCTTAATGTTGATTCTCTAGCCTTTTTTGGATGTTTCAACAACAATTACATGATCTTTATCACTGACCAAAGATTTGAGCTTGTGTTTGAGTTTTTCAATTTCATTTCGTATATTATTAAGTTTCCCAGTAATATCGATGTATTTCTTCTCTTAGACATAATCTACTGACAAAGTTAGAAATTTCTGTGAGTAGTGCCTTGATGTGAGATGATTATGAGCAGTAATAAATTGTGCTCGAAACGTGGTCACATCGTAAATATTACTGTATAACACTGTGAGACTTTATGAAAATAAATTTTACCTATAATGGAATTATACCGAATGACTAGGCAATTAATGCTTTTAACTATTCAGGCTATTAATAAACTGTTTACAAGGTGAAACAGTGTAACACATAACCTCAACTCCTTATAACTTAGATGTGAAAAACCTTCAATATGAATGAACGGGAGATTAGTAAGAGAAAAGAAGCCAAAGAATACACAATGTCGAAGAATTTTTAAGAAGTACTAGTAAAGAGTTCAAACTCTGTCTACCTCTCTCTCTTTCTCCTCATGTTAAGTAAATATTACTTCCGAGTAGTATAGTTGTGTAAGCTTTCAACAGATCAGTGATTTAAGGCATCAGTATTATTTTTAAAAAAATCAAGGTTAACAAACATTTGTGGAGAACTGAAGCTTTTTAACTGGGATTAATGTGTATGGCTGTTGCCTGATCGTTGGTAAAACAGCATACTTGACTAAAAACTTCTATTTTTATTGTAAGCATTCCCTATACACTTTGATATCTTCCTTTGTTTTTCCACTTTTGCCTGTTTCATCTCTTACATTAGTGTTAAAGAGGGGGTGGGGGACGGGGATGAGGGAATGTAGGTCTCAAACACAGGGTTACTATTAGTATTATTGTTCCCTTGGGTTCGGGGTGGAACATAGGCCTTCAACAACACATCAGCACTTTCCTATATTTTATGCCACCTTCTTCATCTGGGTCCACGAATGCCTGAAATCTGTCATCTCTTCCTCACACGACCTCCTCCATGTCACCCTAGGAGGACCCATTCGTCGCCTCCCATTTTGATTCCTTCCGAGCGATGGGCTGCAATGCACGCGATGTCATTCGATGGCCTCCTCAATGTATGTCCGATCCATCTCCGTTTGCGCCTACATATTTGTTGAGAGATTGACTCCTGCCTGTCAGTTTGTTCTCAGACAGTCAGAGTTTCTTGTTTCTAATTCTTTCTGGCTGACCGGCTGGCCATTTGATCTTGAGTATGGAGTCAGCCAGCGAAGGGGGCAGCAGTTGATAAAAGTCTGTAACTAGGTATCGGAAATCCTTTTCGTGACACGGTGGTCAAGTTTCTTACCCGCATAGAAGAACTGACTGACTTGACATTGGCGTTGAAAACCCGGATCTTGTTCCTTATGCCGAGTCTGTGCAAAAGATTTCCAAACTGGTTTCAGGTTGATCAAGGAGAATCTTTCCTTTCTGATTCTGTCTGGCGGGCTTTGACATCCTCCTTCGTTCCGAATTCCTGTAGTTGAAACAATGCTTCCTAGCCGAATAAGTGAAGGAGGTAACCTCTGTTAAATCTCTACCGTTGATGGTGATTGATGCTGGTTGCTGTTGCGGTCTGTTGGTTATCTTCATCAACTCCGTCTTCTCTATGTTCATCTAAATTCATGTCTTCGCCACCAGCCTCTTCAGCCAGTTTGTTGGTTTTCGCCTGTAAGTCTTCGAGTTTGTGTGACATTAAACATAAATCATCTACTCGCGAAATTCAGATCTTCTAGAGTCTTCTAATCGATGGTCCAGCGTATTCCTGTCTTCTCACTCCCAATGCACAGTCTGACGCATAATCCAGTCCACCACAATTAAGAATATCATCGTTGGTGATAATAGGCAGGCAGTCCTGTCTTACTCTTGTATGCACTTCGAACACCTCACCGAGTTTTCCATCGTGGATCACCTGACACGTGTCACTGTCATATAGCTGTGGTTGAATGAGGTTGATAAAGACTTGAGGTACGGCATAGTGTTGAAGTGGTCTGTCGAAGGCCTTTCCAAAGCCGATGAAGTTGAGGTCGAGGCAGGTTTGACTACCATCCTATGCTTTGTTCTGTGATGCCAATGCGTACACGGTACAAATGCAAAATAAAACAAAAGGCGGCGATTTCAAAAAAAAAACAAACATCTTTTTATTTTATTTCTTTTTCACATAGAAACCATATGATACTATTTAGAAAAAAAAGGTAAAAATAGTAATTCACAGCATGTTACATAATATATAAACAGTGCATATATATATGAGATGGCAAACGTGGGGGTGGGGGTGTTGTGTGAAGTTCTAGGAGTATGTACGTATGCTCATTTAATAGACCAAACAGTGGAAAAACACCAGGATCGAGTGTTTAGATTTAAAAAAAAAACAATAACAAAAAATACAACAGCATTCAACAGTAGGTCTGTTTTTACCAGACGAATAATTTAATTACACTTTCACTAGATGAAGAAGAAGAAGAATTCAATTTCAAATGACGTTTTATTCGTTATCTGGTTATCTGTCCTACAGCTTATCAAAGTATTGTCGTGAATTGTGTAACAAGGAGGATTGTGTGTGTTTGTGTATGTCCCCTTCTCCTGTTGGTCTGTGTTCTATATACTGTGATAACAGAACAACACATTAGAGTTAGCAAACATTCGCATAGATTTCTCTCAGCCCGAAGTATGTCACTGAAATTCGCTGAATTTTAAAGCCTAAACTTTTTAATAATAATAATAGTAATAATAATAGTAATAAAGATTATTCATAGAATGATATGCACCATTGAAAGTAGTGTAGAATCACATTGAAAATTTCACAGACATGTTTTTTGTATAAATTCGAATTACAAAATAAGGTATTTTCTTGGCATCACATTTTATTCACAGCAGAAAATTTGTTTGTTTTTTTTATTATTATAATGAAATCAAATGAAAGAGAACACAAAAAAACAGAAAACAAGAGGAAGGCAATTAATTCATGGTTGGCAAAAAGGCGAAAACCAAAAACAAGATTGTTTGTTGAACAGGGGAATACCAGTGTAGAGATTGCAACAGTACAGTAACGATGACAACGCATACATGCATGCATATACATTTAAGATTGAGAAGATAGGAGCACATATATGTATTCAGTTGAATTAAACACTCATCTCTCAGTCTCAGTGAGTCACTCACTGTGCAAAACGCTGATCGATGGATGCACTGATCATCTCTCATGCTTTACGAAGAGAGAAGAACAGTGTGAAACATTTAATAGGGGATCTAGTTGATTGACTGAATGATTGAAAGAAGGATTTAGTTGGTCGATAATGACTGACTGACTGATTGGGGGGGGGGGGTGTATCCAGTCACAATCATAATCCAGGTAACGAGAAAATTCTCTTATGTAACCGATTAATACAACACAGAAATAATTATGCTTACTACATACATCTTGTGTGAAAATATAAGATTTATTTATTGTAAACACACCTAGACGCGGAAATAATAATAATAATAATTGAGGCAGCAAAGGTGATGAATATAAGGCAGACGCTTCTTTGTGAAATAAAATAAATTGTTACTCCGGCAATATGAAAAGTCAGTACAAAAAGTGATAAACAAAAAGTTGTTTACTCAGAGAATGAAAGAACCAAAAAAACACGACAATTTTAGAAAGACTTATACAATAAGTAATAAATATATATATTGACAAAAACAACACCTCTTTTAGGAGAACTGCATACTTCTGGTCTATTTAGTTTAAGAGGAAGGGAGGGGGAGGGGAGTAGAAGGCAGGCTAGATCTTGTCTGTTGCATTATTGTGAAAATGGGACGAATCGATGGGTGAGTGATTGAATGTAGTTGGCAAATCGAAAAAAAATCCAGATCAATCAGGTAGATCACAATAAAAAAATTGTTTACAGATAGATTCTTTGTGTGTGTGTGTGTATGTTGTTTGTTTGTTTATTTTACAGAATACTGCATGTACGTGTAGAATTTTCATTTTTGATAGATTTTTGATCTCGTAGGTCAACAGTTGTCAGTTCTCTACGCGATGTATTAGTCTGTCTAGGTTTACTTTTTCCATTACTGGAGGAACCATTGCGCTTAGATCGACGCCTATTCTTGTACTTTTGTTCAGGTAGAGTTGGATCATTTTTGTACGGTAAACCTTTATCACGAAGAATGCGGTAAATACCGGTTAGCTTATTCTTGGGACCTTCTTTTAGTGCTTTGTCCAACTCCATGGTATCCACATTCCACCATCTTCTCAATAAATATCTTGCAGATGCATCATCAATTTCGTCAGGAGTTGGATCTTTGTGTCTGGCTAAAAGTGCCCAGTCGACATTTAAAAACCAGGGGGAATTTTTCGCCTGAGTTACTGTATACCTTCTGTCAATAGAATGAGTCAGTAATCCAGAGATTAGCACTTGACAGTGGGGTGTAACATATGACGGAATACGATATTCACCAGCTAGAATAAGACGTTTAATTTTCTGTAAACTATCAGCCTTGAAGGGTAAACTTCCAGTTACCATATAAAATGTGAGAACACCGAGTGCCCAAAGATCAACAGCCGGTCCTAGGTAGGAGTCTGCAACAAAGAGTTCTGGAGCAGCATACGGCGGGGAACCACAAAAAGTAGTCAAAGCAGCATCTGGGGCGGCACATTTAGAAAAACCAAAATCTCCAAGTTTAACGTACATATTGCTTACAATGAAAACATTTTCTGCTTTAAGATCTCTGTGAACCACGCCGTTATTGTGCTGTACAAAAAGTATATAGAATGGAAAAAAAAAAAATTGATAACACTTATCCAATAGTTGTGAAAATTTATGAGATAGAAGAACATATTGCCAAATATCATACATACATTACGAAATTTAGAAAAAAAGAGACGTGAAATGTTTCACACATCAAAGTTTTATTTTACTTTACTCATGAACCGGTTACTTCTTCGAAGCATTATTTCGTAGTAATAAAAATTAGTTGTCTGCAGGCGATAATCTAGGTAGGTGGAGACAGAGAGAGGTTGATTACTGAATCCTGCCTGGTTCATGGAATCTACACCGAACACATGCAATAGGAATGATTCATCACTCATACCCGAAATATGGAAAATATTACTACGAATCAAATCAAGTGAAAAACAATGGAACTATATATAGAAATGAATTTAGGAAGTCGTGTGATTACCTTGATATGATTATGAGCAGTAATAAATTGTGCTCGAAACGTGGTCATCAGTAAACATTACTGTATAACACACTGTGAGACTTTATCAAAACAAAATTTACCCATAATGGAATTACACTCTACCACAGTGCACAAGGTTTATTGTTATAACAATCGGAAGCCACCACTTCAGTACAGGGCAGCTGTTTCGTCCACCTAGTTCTATACTCTTCATCACTACACACACACCGCCAGACTTCAAACCCAACACTTTATAATTACAAGACAAGCTAGCTCGTAGACCATTAGGCAGTCACTGGGACCTCCCTCAATCCAAAGGTCAACCCATGAATTCCAACTTCTGCCAATTCACAACACAGCACGGACACTAGCAAATGTCTTCGGCGAGTATTTGTCTTCACACCTGACCTGCTGCACGATACTGATCACGACTTCTCACTAGAATCTCACTAGGTGACTACCTAGTTGAATAGCGTCAGCCGCTAGTGAGCATCTCATCGATATTTAAGTATCGGTTTGTAGGGATTCAACTGATTGGTGACAAGATTTCATCATGAGCTAAGATCAGTTAGAGAACAATTGGAAAACCAACAGGGAGTACTGGACAGCTGTTTCGTCCACCTAGATTGGGACTCTTCATTATTGCACACCGCCGGGGTTTATTTTTAATGAACCATACACTGAGAAAAAATTATCTTATTAAATAGCACTTGGAATGCAGATTTACAGTAAAATTGTTACCGTAGCTACTTCGCCCTATGGTAAAACGGTAATTTGTGGTTCAAGAAACTGAGGAAAACAAATAATGCCGAGAATTTCACCGATGTTATCAAACACACAGATATAGATCACAATCAGACAAGTTCAGAAGAGTTATCTTCTGAGCAAGAATTGACAACTGGTTCAAATCTAATAATACGGAAATTAGGCACCGATATTTGTAGCAAAAAACATACAACGACTTATTTTACATATTTTACAAAGCTGTCTGTGATGCTGTGGACGTCAATACTGTATGTATAAAACTATATAATACTGTGGCGAGTGCTCCTGATAATATTTATCAGTAGTATATGAAGAGGCGTTCATCGGCATAAAAACATCAAACAGTATGAAGATGCGTTTGATGTCAGAGAAGGAAAATGATACAGCCTTGCGGAGATACAAGGGAAACGTGAAAAGGACACAAAGAAACACAATATGAAGGCCAGAAGTAGCACAACACTGAGATCTGTGCAAATGGTGCGTGGAAGATAAAGTGTATATAATTTAGCTATGTAGAGATACAAGTTTCCAAAAATGCATCCGTCTACCAAGACTTACTCACTATTGTGTTTCCGAATCTTCTAAATCACTTTCTCCATCTTATAATTTTACTTTACTGTTCACACCCAACCTGCTGAACTCTCCATCCTAATATGTATAAATTTCGTATTTCGTTGTTCTGACTGGCCTGCTTTAACTTTCATCAGTTCCGAATTCTTGTGGTTGAAACCGTACTTCCTAGAAAGGTGAAGTAAGTAACCTCTGGCTATCTTCATCAACTCCGTCTTCTCTATGTTCATCCAAATTCGTGTCTTCGCCACTAGCCTCTTCAGCCAGTATTTTTTTGATTACAGCTTGATTCCACACTGTATTTTTGGTACAAGTATGGAATTTTCAGTGTGTGATATCGGTAACCCAAATTTTGCCGACCGACCATAGATATCAGGTGTTTGTCGGCAGGGGATCGAACGTCGGACCGTATGCATGGTCGGCGAGAGTCCTAACCACTGTGCCACTGATGCCTGCAAGTCTTCGAGGTTTTGTGGCATTTAACACAGGTCATCCAGTCGCGAAATCCAGGTCTTCTAAAGCCTTCTTATCAGTCGGTGCAGCGTATTCTTGTCTTCTCACTCCCAACAGACAGTCTGACGCACAATCCATTCCACCACAATTAAGAATGTCATCGATGGTGATAACAGGCGTCATTTTTCATTCTCTCTTCAAATGTGCACAAAAGGATGTCGGAGAACAGAAATACGGTGTGTAAATGTGCCAATTTTGGAACAGTCTGTTTTGATCACATAGTGAAAAGTTCATAAAGTCATTCGTCTGTCCTCGATACACTGACACAAAGGAATCTATCATCAGTCCATCTTTTTGATACACATACGTTCATGTGTATAATAATACATCAGTGAATGTTTCGTATGAATTAGCTATTTATGATATCATTTAAATAATCTACAATATTACTGTTTTAAGTAACCTACTATTTTTGGTATCTAATTAACACAATAAGCTATTCAAATGAAACATAAAGTCAGAAATCTAAACCAATATAAAGTTATTCAAGTATTGGTACTGAATATCAATGAGATGCTCACTAGTGACTGACGCTATTCAGCTAGGTAGTCACCTGAGGTTCCAGTGGGAAGTTGTGACCAGTAGGGTGCAGCAGGTCACGTGTGACGACAAGTAGTCGCCGAAGACATTGGCTAGTGTCCGTGCTATGTTGTGAATTGGCAGAAATTGGAATTCATGGGTTGGCCATTGGATTGGATTGGGTCCCAATGGCTGTTTAATGATCCACGAGCTAGCTTGCCTTGTAATTATAAGGTTTTGGGTTCGAGGTCTGGCAGTGTGTGCGTACTGATGAAGAGTCCCAAACTAGGACAGCGGAAACAGCTGTCCAGTACTGAAGTGGTGGTTTCCGATTGTTCTCTAACTGATCTCAGCTCATGATGAAATCCTATTACATATATAAAGTTAATTTAGCGGATGATGGCTTGCAAGGGAATTCACCAGGATGAGCATTTCGTCGTCTTTGGGACCCATCACTAGATGTACACCTACATCAACCATTGTGATGTTGTGCCTACTGAGACTCGAAACCAGTACCCATCGTTTCAAGCGTGAAAACGTTTTACATTAGACCATCTGGACCAAAGGAGCCGCCTTCTGTATTGTTTTCATTCAATTTAGATTTTCCTGTTACTGTTTGGAATCGAAGTAGCCTGATGAATAACTCCTTGACGTTTGAAAAGATGCGTAGTGGTTTCGAGTTCCAGAGGGGAATCGAAAACATTTATTTCATGATATGAATTTAAAACAAGCAATAAAGGTTAATAAAGCAGGATTTAATGATGATGAATTCATCAAATTTCGCTGAGACTCGTCAGCTAAATACTCTACATACCCGCATATATATATATATATACTTTTGAAATTACATTGGGAGTTATAAAACTAATAAGTAAACAAACTACATTGAATTAGTCATGCAGAAAGACAGGTGCGAATGTTTTCCAGGTCATGATCAAATAGATAAGGGGAGAGTTTGTGGAAGCAAATACATAGGTCGTACAGAAAGGCGATTGTCTACTCGTATGATGGAGCATTTGCCAAAATGGTTGAAAACAGTTGAGTGCAGAGTGCCGAAATTGACGCGGTCAAGTCATTCACTATTGTCAGCAGACAAAGAAACAAAAAGATGCTTGCAATTGCAGAGGCTTGTGCAATTCGAGTTTATAAACCAGGTCTCTGTGTACAAAAGGAGATGGTCGTGACTCTGAATCTACCATGGTAATGCGTTTTACTTATTATTCTACCTCTTATTATTATTCCTGATTCACTTAAAACTATCCCTTGTCAGTAGGATTATCTTAACTCACTTCAACACTATTATTATTATTGTTATTATAACTATCACTATTGATATTACTCTGTTTACAATTCTTGAATATATTCTCTAATGTCTAATTGTTTAACTAAGTGATGTAATTGAAGCGTAATGCAATTTATCTTAATTTTGACCTCGCATACTCCATCTCTCCTTATCTATTTGAACATGACCTGGAAAATCATTCGCACCTGTCTTTCTGCATGACTAATTCAATGTAGTTTGTTTACTTATCAGTCTTATATCTCCCAATGTAATTTCAAAAGTATATATATGCGGGTATGTAGAGTATTCAGCTGACGAGTTCTACCGAAATTTGATGAATCCATCATTAAATCCTGCTTTAATAACAGTGGGGAATGTAGGCTATATCCAGTGATAGGTCCTAAATAGGACGACATGTACATCCCAGGTTCCACTGCTAGTCACCGTAGACCAGGCTATTCATGAAACTTCGCCGAGGTATTCGTATTACGAATCAATATGTCAACCGAGAAAAAACACAAATAGCAGAATAAAAAGGGGTAATTTTGTTTTTAATTATCTTATTACTTTTCAACAGCTGATAACAAACAGCCTAAAAATGGCATGCCAATAAAAACTAAAATTCTACACCATTGGCACATGTCTCAGATTAATTTACAGGATACGCCTTACTTTTTTTGTATCTGAGATCCATGCACACAGTGTTAAACTCTTTACTGGCATCCTACTCAAAAAAAAATGAAAAATTAAAACAAAATTTCACTTAATGCTGTCAGTGTGAAATTCATTGCAGTGTCATATGATCCGCCTACAGAAGAATCACGTATATAACTGATTGTGCTAAATTACAGAGTTGACAACCGCATCAATTATCACCAGCTAATCACAGCCTGAGTAAAAATGATAATGCTTTCATATATA